AAATAAATAAAAATAAAATTATTATCTTAGTCTGTTGACTTCTATAGGGCTTCTAATTGCCGTAGACTGGGTAATTTGTAAATAATATAATTTTTTTTTTTTTTTGGTTTCAAGGAGCAGAGGGTTTAATAGGCAAGAAATAAATGAGAAGGCAGAAGGAAGAGGCTCCTCCTTACAGAGATAGGGGTGTGGGGGCTCCCAGCCAGGTATATATGCTGAGGATGGAGGAGGTGATGTCTGATTTGCATAGGGTTGAGAGGATTAGTTTGACTAGGCATGTTATTCACATAGCCTGTGAAAAAGCTGACCTTCCCACCCTAGCCTTTTAATATGCAAATGCAGGGCACAATGATGTTCTAAACACGGGGATATATGGGGGTGGCCCTGTTACCTGGAACAGGTGAGTAAAGGGCAAGAAGTCTACATGAATCACCATATTTGGATGGATCCAGTTTCTAATGGCCTGCATTTGCCTATCAAATGTTGCCAGCCTAGCTCCAAGAGCTGGGGCTTTACAGGAAACTTTTCTGGAGACGCTTTAAAAAATGAAAACTTTGCTAGGCACAGTGGCTCACGCCTGTAATCCCAGCACTCTGGAAAGCCAAAGTGGGTGGATCACCTGAGGTCAGGAGTTCGAGACCAGCCTGACCAACATGGAGAAACCCCATCTATACTAAAAATACAAAATTGGCTGGGCATGGTGACATATGCCTGTAATTCCAGTTAGTTGGGAGGCTGAGGCAGGAGAACTGCTTGAACCCGGGAGGTGGAGGTTCCAGTGAGATTGAGCTATTGCACTCTAGCCTGGGCAACTAGAGTGAAACTCCGTCTCAAAAAAACAAAAAACAAAACAAAGCAAAAACTTCCTAAGGACTCCTTTTCCTCTCTGTCTGCCTAAAATAATTTCTTAATAACTCCTACAATATTTTCCCCTGTTGAGATGCCACACTAACTGCTGTTAGGGGTTTGAGCAGTGACACTTTCTGGCTACTTCCTGCTGAAAAGGGGCGTTGAATGGGGAACAGCAGCCAGGGCTACTCCTGGGGTCGATCTAAGGGTCCTTGGAAGAATGGCATGTCCATGTGTGGTTCAGTTTACAGCACCATTGGGAGTTTGATTACTTGTAGGTGAGAAGAAATAATTTGAGTTATAATATTGAGTATACAGGGTCCAAATATCAAAACAAGCCATAAATAAGAGACGGCTTAATAAAGGGGTTAACCAATTCCATAAGGAAGACTGGAATTCATTAAAAAGTCCTTGTAGCCAACCGGGACTGAAGCCAGCATTTTCCCTGAGCCTGTTAATAATTTTGATTTTATTTTGAAATACCTTAAATTTTCCTCTAATTTATTAGAGGTATTAGTCCAAAAGCATCATGTTTCATTTAAAACTGCATCACTGGCTGAGCATGGTGGCTCCCACCTGTAATCCTAGCACTTTGAGAGGCTGAGGTGGGCGGATCATGAGGTCAGGATATCAAGACCAGGCTGACCAACATGGTGAAACCCCATCTCCACTAAAAATACAAAAATTAGCTGGGCGTGGTGGCGCATGCCTGAAATCCCAGCTACTCAGGAGGCTGAGGCAGGAGAATCGCTTGAACCAGGGAGTTGGAGGTTGCAGTGAGCTGAGATTGCGCCGTCACTGCACTCCAGCCTGGCGACTGAGTGAGACTGTCTCAAAAATAAATAAATAAATAAAAAAGAAACAAAAACTGTATCACTAACCCAACAAAAAGTCCTAAAAGACTCAGTGATAGTAAAACTATGTTTCCTTTTTGTCAGTAACTATTATCCCTGCTATAAGTACTAATTAAGCAAAATACCATAGCAATGGAAATTTTCCAATATTTCAGTTAGAAGGTGCTACCAAGTATAATCCTACGACAAATAGTAGAGTGAGGACAGCAGTTCCCACAGGTGAGGTGTGGTAGATAATTTCCATCTAAAATTTTACTTGCCAAGATATAGAATTCACCTTGGAGAGCTATGAAGTTCCTTGTTTTTATTTTCCCAAACAAAGAAACCTCCAGGTTCTGGGCACTTCACTCACCTTCATTGCCTGGCAGAATTTAAACAGATTGAAGGCATTATATTCGAGTGCTACTTTTGTGGCACCGATAATTTTACTTATAACAATCTTGGTGACCTACAGGGAGACCCCGTCCCCTTCAGGGCGGTCTCTGGTTCTCTCTTGTGAGGAGGAAGGGCTCCCCCGCAACCTGCCTCGCTGCAGTGGCCTCCTGAGTGAAGACCCGTGCCAGGACCAAGCCCGTGCTCTTAACAATGTGGAGACCGGCCTGCAACCTAAGGTAAAGGATCCTGGTCTGGCGCTGTGGCTCACGCCTGTAATCCTAGCACTTTGGGAGGCCGAGGTGGGTGCATCACCTGAGGTCAGGAGTTCAAGACCAACCTGGCCATCATGGTGAAACCCCATCTTAAAAATAAATAAATAAATAAATAAATAAATAAATTTTTAAAAAAAGGATCCTTACATACCTCAGCAACCATTCAAAGCTGTGCACAGACCAAGGAAGGAAACACCCAACAGCCGGCAAAGTATTTCCTAGGTGGTTGGGACAGACTAAGATAAGAGAAGCCGTGGGGGCGGGGGAGTGATACCTTTGTTGGGACCTACCAAGGTAAGAGAAGCCACGGGGAGGCGGGGGTCGGTGAAGTATTTATTGGTCAGGGTGTCTGTGGGGCTAAATAGAAAAAAAAAAGCAGTACATTTCCAGTAAGGGAAACTGAACCTCACCCCAAAAGGCAAGACATTTCCAGTAAGGGAAGTTGAGCCTTACCTCCAAAATTGGAAATGCCCCAAGTAGGATAAGGGATAAAAAGATAAAGCTTGCAACGATAATTTTCCCCTTAATAATCCCCTACGCCTAATGTTAAAATATTAGAAGAAGAATAATGGGATCAAATAAACAAAAAAAGCAACTGCTGTCCCAGACCCTCCTTCTATCCTTCTTGTCCCCCTCCTTGTAACTCTGCCTCTTGGGAATCATCCCAAGAGCCCACTTACTACCTTCCTGAGCATCCTTCCCTAAAAGGACTTCAACACAAGATAGAGCAATGTAAAAAAAAAAAAAAAAAAAAAGATATTCAGAACTTCCCTTTCCCGTCTTCTCAGGGGAAGAAAGAGGTAGGATCTGTAGAGCTGCTATGGGAGCCTAGGAACCTGAACAACTCCCCCCACCCCCAAAACGTTCCTACAGCGGAACAAAAATTTCCCGCCCAAGACCCCCGTGGGACAGCAGCAACGCAGCCCACCGAGAAAACATGCAGGAAATATGCTGGTCTAGGTCTTGAGGATCGTCTTGGGCAGGGAATGTTGAAACTGAATTTTGTCACTAACAATTGGCCAAATATTCACAAGAAATTACAAAAAATATATATAGAGAACTAGAAAGATAAGCCTGTAAAAGCTTCTAAAAGCGAGAGAAAAAAAGTCCTAGAGGAGAGAGAAAGACTGACAGAGGGAACAGAGGAAGTCAGAGAAAGAGAGAGAGAAAGAGAAAGAGAGAGAGTCACAGAGGGAGAAAGGAAGAGACAGAAGTAGGAAAGAGAAAGCAATGGGCCCTATGCTTTTAAAAGCTAGGGTCAATTTAAAACCTACAAATGATCATTGAAGGTCTTCTAGGTGATGGGTTTCTTAAACTCTGTTGTACCCAATCTTTTTAAAAGATGGCTTCTGGGCTTGTCCGTTGGCAGAGGACATCGGGGACCTATTTGCCTTTGAGTGAGATCCTCACTCCAGTCGAAAATAACAATACTGATGGACGGTCTTACCCCAAGGGTTTACAGAGTCTCCAAATTTATTTAGTCAAATATTAGAACAAGTCATTTAATTAGCAAAGGTAAACGGAAAATGAAGCTTAAACAGGTTGAAGGCATTATATTCTTCCCTCTGCCGAAGACTAAACAGGAACTTAGAAAATTTTAGGATTAGTCGGATACTGTCTATGGATAGACTCTTACGCCCTAAAAATAAAGCCCTTTTACAAAAAGCTCACTCAAGACAGGTTAAACCCCCTTATTTGGCAATCACCAGAAATCCAGCAGGTGGAAAGGTTACCTCTTTAAGCAGCCATTCCAACTTTTTGTCAGGGTAAACAAGGACATTGGAAATACTTGCCCAAAGGCACGGAGGCCACTGACAACCAGTAGCCTTCCTATCAAAAATTCTGAACCCAGTAACCCTCAGATGGCCCAAAAGCATTGTGGGATGACACTTTATTATAGATTTTGCTAAAAGTTAATAATGTAATATGTATTATCCTAACTTCTAATCTTGTGGCCTTAGGCAGTCTAGTCCACAGACATGAAAAAAATTTGCTTTGTTTGTTCTCTAATCTTGCCAGAAAAAAAAAAAAAAAGAAGTTTGCTTTGGAAAAGAACCATTATCATCTTTGACAAAAAACAAAAAAGGAGAATTTATGTAAAAAGAATATTTTATGAGCCAGGCGCAGTGGCTCACGCCTGTAATCCCAATACTTTGGGAGGTCGAGGCAGGCGAATTACAAGGCCAGAGTTTGAGACCAGCCTGACCAACATGGTGAAACCCCGTCTCTACTAAAAATGCAACAATTAGCTGGGCGTGGTGGCACACACCTGTAATCCCAGCTACTCACTCCGAAGGCTGAGGCAGGAGAATCGCTTGCACCTGGGATGCAGAGGTTGCCTGGGTGACAAGAGCGAGACTCTGTCTTAAAAAAAAAATCTTATGTGGTAAATTCTTGTCCTAAAATAAATTAACTGGCCGTTTAAAGAAAGGGATGTTTATAACAAGTCAGAAAGTTGAAGATTGTCTGTGAAGGTCGTGAAAAATGGTATAAAAGGAAATTTATGCAAGAATTGTTATATAGTTTAAAAGTAATTAGGCCTCCTGAATATAAAACTATTGAAGAAAGAGTTTATGTGCAAGGTGTGTAAGGAGAGTAAAATATACTTCTGATTAAAAAAAAAAAAAAAAAGAACGAAAACGCTTCCTCCATGGCTGTTCACTACCCTCTGGCTGTGGGCCTCAATAAGGGCCACAAGGTGACCAAGAACCTGAGCAAGCCCAGGCACGGCCGCACACACAGGCATCGGACCAAACACATCAAGTTCCTGCGGGACATGATCCGGGAGGTGTGTGGCTTTGCCCCGTACAAGCGGCATGCCATGGAGTTACTGAAGGTCTCCAAGGACAAACAGGCCCTCAAGTTCATCAAGAAAAGGGTGAGGACACACATCCACGCCAAGAGGAAGCAGGAGGAGCTGAGCAATGTCCGGACACCATGAGGAAAGCCGCTGCCAATAAAGACTGAGGCCCCTCCCCAACCTCTCCCTGAAACAAAGAACAGCTTGACCCAATTAAAGAAAAAACCATAATCCCAGCACTTTGGGAGGCTGAGGCGAGCAGATCGCAAGGCCAAGAGATCAAGACCCTCCTGGCCAACATGGTGAAACCCCCTCTCTACTAAAAATACAAAAATTAGCTGGGCGTCGTGGTGTGCGCCTGTAGTCCCAGCTACTCGGGAGGCTGAGGCAGGAGAATTGCTTGAACCCGGGAGGCGGAGGTTGCAGTGAGCCAAGATCGCGCCACTGCACTCCAGCCTGGAGCCTGGCGACAGAGCAAGACTCTGTCTCAAACAAAAACCCACATAAAATGTGGATTTCTACCTACATTAAAAAAAAAAAAGAAAACTAAAAATAAAAATTTTGTTCTGAAGGCCTAAGCAAGTTTTAAAATGTTAATTATAAAGGAAATTCTGTGTGTAAACATATTGGCTAATGTCAAAGGGGTATCGTCGAGTTTTTCTTTTTCTTTTTTTCAAATTAAAGGACAGATTTAAAGTCGAAATCCGCTCCATACTCACTAGTCTGATGACTGAATTTCCTCTCCCAGCCAATGCACCAGAATGCTAGGGCTCCGATGAATGGAGAACACCAGGGTTCTTGGTCCTCGTGCTGGTTTAGATAAAACTGCAGGGACACACGTGGAGTGGTTTTAAGGAGCAGAGCATTTAATAGGCAAGAAAGAAAAGAGAAGGCAGAAGGCAGAGGCTTCTCCATACAGAGACAGAGGGAGGGGTGTGCTCCAAACCCGAAAGAAGAAGTCTCCCATAAATAATAGAAATTTAAGGCTGGCTGCAGTGGCTTATACCTGTAATCCCAACACTTGGGGAAGCTGAGGTGGGTGGATCACCTGAGGTCAGGAGTTCGAGACCAGCCTGACCAACAAGGCAAAGCCCTGTCCCTACTAAAAATATAAAATAGCTTTATGCCTGTAATCCCAGCTACTCGGGGAGCTGAGGCAGAAAAATCGCCTGAGCCAGGGAGGCAGAGGTTGCAGTCAGCTGAGATTGCATCACTGAACTCCAGCCTCAGACTGTGTCTCAATAAATAAATAAATAAAAATAGAAATTTATTTCTCATAATTCTGGAGGTTCGGAAGTTGAAGATCAAGGCACTAGCAGATCTGGTGTCTGGTGATGGCTTCCTCTCTGTTTCATCAATGGCACCTCTTTGCTACATCCTCACACAATGGAAGAAGGGCAAATGGGACTAACAGACTCCCTCAAACCATTCTATAACACTAATCCCTCATGGATGGGATTAGTCATGACCCAACCACCTCGTAAAGGCCCCACCCCTTAATACTATTGCATTGGGGATTTTCAATATGAATTTTGGAGGGACACAAACATTCAAACTGTATCAAAACCATCAAAATCACTTTGAAACAAAGAAAGAGCATTTTAACCTGTTTTAAATTTCCTTCACTTAATATATATCTCTTGAGATATATATATATATATATATACACACACACATATATATATCCTGAAATATATCTCTTTCCATATCATATAGTGTCGAACAATTTCTTATGGCTAATGGTCCATGGAGAGTAAAAACAAAACTAGTTCTTTTCTTTTGTTTTTTTTTGAAACAGAGTCTCACTCTGTTGCTCAGGCTGGAGTGCCGTGGTGCGATCTCAGCACACTGCAACCTCCACCTCCTGGGTTCGAACGATTCTCCTGCCTCAGCCTTCCAAGTAGCTGAGATTATAGGTGTGTGCCACCATGCCTGGCTATTTCTGTATTTTTAGTAGAGATAGGGTTTTGTCATGTTGGCCAGGCTGGTCTCGAACTCCTGACCTCAAGTGATCTGCCTGCCTTGGTCTCCCAAAGTGCTGAGATTACAGGTGTGAGCCATTGGTCTTGGCCAAGGCTAATTCTTTTGAATTGTTTGCTAATCATCAATAGTCACTGTTTCAGGGTGGTGAAATTATGGGTGACAATTTTTTACTCTCACTTTTCTGAAAAAGTGATAAAATGGTTTTGGAACTTAAAAATAACTTGCTATATCATCTTTATATGAGTCCACTAAGCAGAAATTTTTTTTTAAGCACCGGCATTATATAAGGCCCTATGGAGGAAGCAAAGATGAATGAACCTCTATCCCTAAAGAGCAGGAAAATACAGAAGGAATACACATGAGGGAAGGCCTGATTGATTGTGAACTGAGTGGTGTATGGTCATCTTTGCTTGATCTCTGCTAATGTAAAGATAAATCTCTGTATGATATTTAGATGTCATTAAAGTTGGATCTGTAAATATGCTGAGCCTGAGTACAGTTTCCATCCACTTGTATTAAGATAAAATGTGAACCTGCCAGTAAGTCGTGTAGCTGGACACTCCCGCCACATGGTGACGGCATACCTAAGTGGAAAGAGCAGCTCCTGGTGTTAACAAGTTCCTGCAGGACTGAAGCTAGCTAGGGAAAATAAGCAACAATTATATCACCCTAGGAAACAAACACCTTTACAAGTGTGGCCATGGTTTAAGATGGCTGTCAGCAGAGTCCTGGAAGCACTTTCTTGTTCTTATTATCCCACTACTTCAGTTGTCCCTACACAAGTCTCTGCCCACAGTTCCCCTTTAAGAATACTTTATTATAGGCCAGGTGTGGTGGCTCACGCCTGTAATCCAAGCACTTTGGAGGCCAAGGCGGGCGGATCACCTGAGGTCGGGGGTTCAAGACCAGCCTGACCAACATCGTGAAACCCTGTTTTAAAAAAAAAAAAAAAAAAAAAGAACACTTTATTATAATTATTTTATTTCATTTGTTGTCTTACTTGCCACCCTAGTGTTCACACCATCAGAGACCACTGCAGCCTTTCTGTCCTTTAGTCCTTTAATTTCATTTCCAGACTGTTCTTCCTCTTTTCCTCCCCTTTCCTATGAGAATGTTTCCCAGGTCAAATGCAAATTCCTTAGCCATCTTGCTGAATGTTATTTTCCTCCACCCCAAAGCTGTTATGATGATAAACTTATTGTCATGAACACTAATTTGTAATTACATCCAGTAACCTCATGACATTGGTTCATTACTGATACATGCTGTTTATTCATTCATTCCTCAAAGCACTGTGTCAGCAAAGTGCCAGGGAGGTGGGAACACAGAATGAACAAGAAAAGTCCTGGACTTTGAGGTGCTCACCATCTAGTGATAGATGACAAACAGTTATAAAATGATGTGATGAGGGCTGCAATGGAGGCATGAATAAGGAGTCTCGAGCAGGAGGTGGTGAAAATGGGGAGGCTGGGCTGTCTATCTGGGACAGTCCAGGTTTACACATGCGAGGTAATGATAAAGATAAGTCATAAAGGATCTTTTGGAGTTTGCCAGATGGAAGGAGGTGGGAAGGTCATATTAGGCTGCAAAATTAAGAACACGTGAAAATACCAGTAGCTCTTCAAACTGTCTAGAGTTCAGTAAGGTCAGGACAAACCAGGTGTAGGACAGCTTCAGGCTTCCTCAGGTTGCCAGCTAGATCTGATAGAGGTATTTGGTTTTATTTGTGGTAAGAAACTTGCCAGCCTATCTGGCCTGTCCGTGGCTGAGTTTTATTTGGTAAAACACTGTGTCAAAATTTTGAATTAGTTGAACAGGAACTTGCACATAATTAAATCAAGTTTTCCAGTCTCTATCAGAAAACCAAAAGTTTTTTGACACCGAGCTCACCAACTCCATGGCAACAATTAGCTGGAAGCACTTGAGAAGGAGCCTGGCTATCCCAGTTTGCTGTAGACCTTACCTTTCCTGCTTACTTCACCTACCTGGCCAGACACATTTAGTTGTGATATTTGCCCGACCTCTGTAGACAACTGAATGTGACCTCTGTTTTACTATATCTGGGGGCCCCAGTTACAGGAGTAGGCCAGGATTCTGGTGCAGAATGCTGGAGAAATCTGCACTTTCTGGAGGTGATAATGAAGGGGAAGAAGGAGACAGAAGTTGACCCAGCTGCTGAAGTTGGTTGTGTAGGGCGCCACCCGGGGGGGATGGGTCACAGCACAGAAAGAGAAATGAGGTACAGTCCCTTCCTGTGGCTGGGGCCTGCAGGAGGAAGAGTGATGAATGAAGATGCTGGGACCCATTCCTTGGACATTAATCCTGACCTGCGGGAGTAAGAGTGATAGGTTCACCCCTAACTGTCCTGGGAACCGGGGCAAGAGTTCAAATGGAGATCCAGAGCCCACAGCCTGCTCTCTTTCTCTTCCTATCCTTACTCTGTCCCACCAAATAAGGTACACATGTGTGCACACACCCCAGGCCACAAGTCCAAGTTCTGTCCACAGCTTCCCTAGGTGCTGGCAAACAGCTGCCCCTTGGTCAACCCTTGGACCTGGGGGTATGTGCGCTGGTACTTGGCCCACTCTCAGGAAGATAGACTCAAGAACCAGGCCTGACCAGGCTCTTAAATCACTCTTAGAGCTGTTTGGGCAGGAAATTTTTGGGGTCTAGGTAGCCCAAATGCGGTTTAGAAGCTAGGTGTGGACTCTGGATGGGCACATTCCCTTGGGCTGGTAGACTCCTCATCCCCTACGGAGGGGCATGGTGAGAAGAGACTCAGAGTCCTGGAGCCTTATAAACTTGAGGGTGAGTGCTGAAATACTGTCAGGAACAGGGACACACTTGGGTTACTATGGGTAATGGGGTCTGTATTAGTTTGCTTGGCCTACTGTAACAGGGTACCACAAATGGGGGACTGCAAACAGCAGACGCTTATTCTCTCCCAGTTCTGGAGGCTAGAAGTCCAAAATTAAGGTGTTGGCAGGATTCGTTCTTTCTGACGGTTCTGAGGGAAAATCTATTCCCTGCCTCTCTCCTGGCTTCTGGTGACATCGGGCAGCCGTGGGCTTGCAGATACGTCACTCTTCTCTCGGTCTCTGTCTTCCCTGGCGTTCTCTCTGTTTCTCTGTGTCTGCATATGGCCATTTTCTTATTAA